TTCCTTATTTTTCTCAACTCCATGGTATAGTGTTTTGATACATTTTATAATCACATTTCTGAATTCCTTCTCAGGCATTTCCAAAGCCTGCCCATCATCCAGTATGCAGTGTAGGTCTACTTCCAGCTTATTTGCCTCAGTCACTTTATCTCGTTTCTGGATATGTGCAGATATGGTCATCTGCTTCTGTGTTTTGGGCATATTCAGGAATTATCTGTGAGCTTAATACTTATATGGGTGTGTATTTTGGTATTTTTTATGCTTTCTGGTTGTCTCCAGGTAGATGTGATCAGGAAATGGGCTTCTGTTTCACTCTTCTTCTTGAGAAATTTCAAGATGCCCCTGTTGGTTGTTGTAACATAACTTAGGATTTAATTTTCGGCCTATTTCCTTTTTAGTATGTCTGTTCTGCTCCACAATCCCCGTTCAGGCCTTTTTTCCTAGACAGTGGAAACTGTCTCTTTAAATTTCAAGGAGATCTGTGTGCATGCATAGTAGAAGCTTCCGAGGGTGGGGTTGGAGTGCCCACTAGCTCAGGCACCCCTATAGTTACCAGAATGGAGGTGCGCAAGCAGCAAGGGACCAATGAATAGATACCAAACTAAAAGAACGTCCACACCTTTATCTCCGTGGTTCTGTCAGGCATCCATGGCTGCTCTGATCCTTCCCCCGCTTGGTCTCACCCAAGATGGTGGCTCCTGGAGCAGCTGAGAGTCTTGATTAGAAAGCACTGGATTTCTTGCTTCTGCTACAAATTCCCCCAGCTGTAAGTCTTCCAACCTTATAAATATTCCTTTATATGTGGTTCAGAGTTCTGGGACCATCCCATGAGCCTGCTTGGGCCTGTATTCTGTGTTGTTGCTGACAGAGCTCCTTACTGCACTTCTATCCGATCCTCCATCTTGTTTGTTCTCTCATTTGATTTATTGACTGCTGCTTCCATAAGTGTTGATTGTGGATTCAAGTAAAATGAAAATCTTGACAAGTTTGATCATTTCTGTTTATCATAATGTTGTTTATTGGTTCAGTTGTAAGGATTTTTATTTTCTTTATGCTGAGGTGCTCCCCATACTGAAGGCTGTAGTCTTCATAATCCATAAAAATTACAGCTTAGAAAACTCTATGGAGCAGTTCTACTCTGTCACATACAGAGTCATTATGATGTGGAACTGAGTCAGTGACACCCAATAACAAGTATCCTTTCTAGTCAGTTTTCCTAACCAGCCACTCACAAGAAATGTTAACATATGCATATTATGTGTTTATCTGATATATACATAGAACAGTTTCGTTATTTTTTGGCTAAATAAACAGGGGTGACATCGCCCCCACTGAGAATGCATGGCCTAGATTGAGGCTCAGACTCCACCATTAGTCCTCTGTCCTTTGGTTCCAGCAGTGTTCTCTCGGGAGGGGGATGTCCTTTAGCAGTCCTTTAGCATTGCAGCATGAACGAAGGGAGAGAGCCAGTGTCATCAAAAATATGTCTGCTTGACTTCCCTCCCACTTTGAGAAAAGGAAAGGGGAGAATGACGGACACTGTAAAGTGAAATTGGATGGGGGGGCTTGAGTCTCTCATTTCACAAACTCACTGGGTATAAGCCTCAGGTGTGCCTCTTGGGGTTCCCCCAGTACAACTCTTTCCTCTGCTCCCAGGTCAGTGTTTTTAGGGACTCCAAGGTGAAAAAGGGAACAGAACAGTTTTGGGGGCTTGGGAAAGGGCTAGTTACAGACCAAATGCTGACAGATGAGTGAGATGAACTGGGTGTGAAGTACTAGGGACTGGTGGGGATTGTGGCAAACCAGGCAGTCAGCACTTACATCTAGCCAATCACTGCCAGAAGGGAATGCAGGCCCAGTGTGGCCAGCTAATTTGATTCTTCCAAGAAGCAAGAAATCTGGACTTACAGGTAAAAAAAAAACCCCAGAAAACCCACCTGCAGATTGGAGTCTGTGGATAGCTGCTAATGTATCAACTCTACTAAGCCCTGAGACAAGGAAGGTAGAATGCCTGGGAGACCCAGGGCCCCTCAATGAGTACGTAATCCTCCCTCAGTTCCAGGGCCTTCCATGGGGGTAGCAAACCACTCCACTGACTTGTGTTTGGCCATGGCTGTCTCTGTTGTCCTCCTCCCTCACTAATGTTGCCCACGGTGTGTACCTCTCTAGAGCCGCCGGAGACTTTCAGCGTGCGGTCTATGTACTCCTTGGCTTTGTCGTGGCGGCCCATGAGCCAGAGGAAGAGGCCAGCGAAGTACAGGGCAGTCCCACCTGCTGTCTTACGGACTTCCTTCAGGCTGCTCTCAAGCTCCTGGATAGCTTCTCGGTCTATAAACTCCAGAGAAGAGAAGGAATTAAGTGAGTAAGGGGCATCACCTGGTGCTGCAGGAGCCCCAAAGGAGTCCCCTCATTCTGTACAGCTGTTGGCACACCTGCCCAAGGCCTGGAAAGCAGGAATGCTGCCCCTGCCCCTGCCATGCCCAGAGGGCTGCCTGAGCCTTCCTTGTCTTCTCTTCTCTGTGCTCAGAAGTGTGCTTAGCACATGAACCCCCAGCCATGAACCCACAACTCATCCTGGGTGGGGAAACAGCTATTTATAATCTCTCTTGGAATTTCTCCCTGGCTCCAGAGAGGTGGAGTTTAGGAGTGGAATTATTTACAGTGGTTTGATTTTTCTTGATAAGATCTGGGCAGCAGGAGAGAAGGGTGTCTCCCTAAATCTTGGCTCTGCAAAGAAGACCCCTCTCACTATCCTGCTTTCTGCCTGTGCTTCCCATGCAGTGTGTGGGCCCTTGGGGGAGTCTTCCTTGAAGCTCTGGAAGGAGGGGAACAACGGCCTTTCCTCACTGACCAACAGCCTCTACACACATACCAGTGCAGCCCTTGGGGGGCTGTGTCTCTGGAGCAGGGCTTTCTTTCCCTTGCTGGGCTAGGCCCGGCTGAATGTGGCTGCACTCACCGATAATTTCACAGCGCTTGTGAGCATAAATGAGGGCCATGATGGAGCACAGGGACACATCTGGGTGGTTTCGGATGCTCTCCAGGTCATTGATAGCATCCTGGATGTGCTCTGCAAAGAGAGGAGAGATACACATAGTTAAGCTCTTAGGGTTAAGGCCCAGAGGGCAGGAGGCTCTGCTTAGTCACGTGGGAGACCTTACCAGGCACAGGGCCTGGCACTACCCACTACCTGTCTTTTCCAAGTCCTCTTGGAGATGTGGCTCAGTGGCCTGAGGAATTAAGCTCCCTGAAAAAGCTGCTGGCACCATAACCCAGGCTCCTCAGGCTTGGAAGGCTTGGAGTGGTGAAAATTAAGGTACAACTTCCAGGCTGGAATTACTGACTAGGGGTCATTTCTGAAGAAGGCACCTCAAGACCCACTGATTACACTGATTACATCCTTGTCCACATTCACTGACCTTGGCCATGGGTAGGTCCAGCCAGTGCCCAGCTCAGATGACCTTCTTAAGATCAGTGAGTCAGCATTTACTTGGGCCCCATTCCTCTCTCTCCTTGCACATGTACCATACTTGCCTGGCATCCACCCCTACAACTCTGTCTTCTTCTTGTGCTACCGGCTCCCAGTTTCTGAGTCTGGGATTAGTTTAATAGTCATGCAGTAATTTCTTCACCCACTCATTTTACAGATGGGAAAACTGAGGCACAGAGCAGAAGTAGTAAACTCGCTAAGCTCTCTAAAGTCAACTAGATATGGATTACATAGGCTTCTGGGGGAATCTAGCCACTAAATGGAAGACTGTTTCCATGGGAACATAATTGATTAAGTAGGTATCAAAATACTGTTTGTTAAGGCTGTACAAGGGCCGGGGGTCAGGAGCTAACACTGTGGAGTCCTTACCTTCCCTGAGGACTCCGTAGGCTTTAAAGAACTGAAGCACAGGGTCATTGCTGAATTTTTCCAGGCCCTTGGCTGCAGCATTCTGCACATGGCGGAAGTACTTTTCTTGGCTGTAGTAAATGATTCCAGCCTGGGTAGAGGAAGACACGATCGCCCAAGTCCCACTTTGTTTCTATTCTGGCCCAGAGAGGGCCAGGTGCGCTTCCTCCCCTCTTCCAGTTTCCCCTTTGTTGCAAAAAAGAAAGAGAAAGAGAGCCTCATCCTACCCTTGCAGCAGCCCTGGGAGCAGCTCCAGGCAGTGTCTCTGAGAAGCAGTTTGAAACAGTTGGTTTTGGAGTCATTTCCTACTCATAGTGACCCTGTACAGGGTTTCCGAGGCTGTAAATCTTTACAGGAGCAGAAAGCCTCATATTTCTCCCATGGGACAGCTGGCAGTTTCGAATTGCTGACCTTCAGATTAGCAGCCCGATTCTTAACCACTAATATGCTACCAGAGCTCCTTTCAAATGTGAAGGGGAATTCAACTCAACCTTTGCCTACTAGTAAGGGAATATGGTGGCTTGACAAAGGTCATGCACTGGTGGGGCTGAGATGTCAGAGCTAAGTCTCACTTCCTCCAAGGCTTGTGGGTGCTGAGGTTGGGGACAGATGTGGTCATATTGTAAATAGCCTTGTGGGCCATATCAAAGAGTTCAGATGTCATACTGAATGTGCCAGGGAGCAGCTGAAATCAGTGGCCTCACTAAGGGAGGTATGGTCAGCACTGGTGACACTGTTGGAGGGTGTGGCATCAAAACGACTGTCTATGAAATTGTTGCACAGTGTTTCAGCAGCAATTTATGATTTTTAATAAAAACATCCCTGTGATTATTAAAATAAGAATGTTTTGTAAGCTCAGCTTGCATATATCAATATACCTACTCGATGGAGTCCTGGTGTGGCGCTGTAGGATAAGCACTGGATTGCTAACAACAAAGTTGGCAGTTCAAACCCACCAGTCTCTCCTCTGAAATCCTATACAGGATTGCTATGAGTTGGAACCACTTCAACAGTACTTAACAATAACAACAGTGACAGTTTAGGGGTCCTGGTGTGGCATTATAAGATAAGCACTGAATTACTAACTGCAAAATCAGTATTTCAAACCTACCAATCAATCTTCGGAAACCCTATACAGGGTCACTATGAGTCGGAACTGACTTGATGGCACTTAACAACAACAACATGTTAATTTGCTTTTTGAACTTTCTAACGTATTCCAGTTATCATTATTACCCAATTACAATGATTCTTCAAATCACCTGTCTTCTGCACAGACTATGAGCACACATTGTTGCTTTCATTGTGAACCTGTATCAATAACTTTTTTTGAGAATGAAGAAGTAATTAAAGGAAAAGAAGAAAATATAAAAGACTTCTACTCAGTTCCTAACAGTGTTATAACTAATGTAATTTGATGTAGATTTTACATAAAAACTTTACTGTAAGTATTCATATAAATTAAGAAATATTACATTTATGCAATTTACAACTATCTTTATCACAATATTCTATGATCAAAATTGATAATAAACATCAATTTTATTATGGGAGGAGGTTTACGGGATGGGGTGGGAAGGACACCCAACTCTCATTGGAATGGCTTTAAGCAGGGGAGAAATGTAATCAGATGTGTGTTTTATCAAAAACCAGTTGGGAGGGAGGCTGTTAAAGGTGCTTTGGTCAGAGATGGTAGTTTTCCTGGATTGGGAGATAAAAAGAAGCGAGTGAACTCAGGAGATATTTGTTGTTTGTTGCTGTTGTTAAGTGCCATCGAGTCAGTTCTGACCCATAGCGACCCTGTATAGGGTTTCCGAGGAGCGACTGGTGAGCTTGAACCGCCGACTTTGAGGTTCAAACAGACTTTGCAGTTCAGCTCATTAACCCACAGCGCCACACATTTCTAGCTCTAAAGGGATAGAAGTGGTAAACAAGTGGTAAACGGGTACGGGAAGAGGTAGGCGATAAGTTTGGGGGATCAAAAGGCGGATGCTGGGGGATGGTGATGCGATAATGAAGATGGGTTTTGAATGCGTTTGTTTGGGGGAGCTCAGGAGAGAGGACTGAGTGAAGGATTTTGAACTCAGGGTACACAGAGGACACGGAAGAGGATGCACTCGCCAGGAAGATAGAGGCGAGAAGGGCAAAGACGGCCTGTAACGAACGAAACAAGTTGGGCGGGCAAAGGGACAGCAGGAGCGGTTGGTTCAAGGCACTGGTACAGGGATCAGGGACGGAGTGTCCCGGAGGGAGAGGCCGGGCAGCGCCGAGCTCACGCACCATAAGGAATGAGGAGTCACTGCTGCTCATCTCCGACTCAGGGGCTCCCAGTTCCGATCTGGTTAGTGGCGCCGCGCGAAGCCGTATTCTTGAGTCAGGGGCCAGGGCACACCTCTCGCGACCGGAAGTTAGAGGAGCGCGCGTCCTTGGAAACGGAGCTGCTGGCTGGTTGCTAAGACGTGGCGTCAGAGGCGGGAGTAGCAAGGCGCCTCACATGACCAGGCGTTGGTAATCAAACCCTGAGAACTCAAGTCCGCTCTGGCGGTACCAGCTGGGCCTACTGGACGCAGGAGCCGGAGTGAGCCTTGGCCATGGGTCTGGGAGTCAGCGCCGAGGAGCCCACGGGAGGCACCGAGGGCTTTCACCTGCATGGGGTGAGTGCCCTCCTCCCCCCACATTCCCCGCCGGCTCTGGTGTCCTCGGCTGGGCGCCCGCGGGTGAACACTAGACGACGGCGGTGTTCCGGGTGGTGCTACCTTCTTGGAGAAGCCGCCAGGGAGAGGTAGCCCCGAAGGACTCCTGGTTCCCGGCCCGTCTGCGACCGCGGTCAAGCCCAGCCGCCGCCCCAAGTGCCAGCTGTGCAGGAAGCAGGAACATTTCCTGATCAGGCCTCCCGGAATGGCACATTACCTGGTGAAGAATGTACCAGTTCCAGTTGGAACGCCTTTGCACACTTCGGATGCACTTATGATCGCCTACTGTGTGCCGTGTGCCCTGCTAGGCCTGGGGGGAGAGTTGGGGACGTGGAGGATCGGGCATTCCGGCTCTCAGGATCTTACAGCCTAGGTTCGGGGTGACAAAGTGAATCCCGACTGCAGGGACCCCATCGTCGCACGTCCCGCCTGTAGTGGGGTTGAAAAGGCTTTGGGAGGGATCCAAGACCCATGTGAAGAAGCTTGGGGAGCCAGAGAAGGTTGCGGAAGCCAAGCAGAGAGCGTTTGCAGCAGAGGGAGGGCCTTTGGGATAAGGCATTGGGAAGTCCGCTGAGGCCTGGACTGAGAATGTCATTTTGGTGTGACAACTAAGGAGATCTGGACTAGCATTCCTGGGAAAGTGGAGACCTACTGGGTTCCCTCGAGTCTGGCTATGAAGGGAGGAGTGGGCACCCGAGGACAGATGGAGATTTGTGGTTGAGATTGACAAGGGTTGTCATTTAGGTGAGAAGGGCAAAGGTCTCTGTGAGAAGGACCTCCTTTCTCAAGTGAAAAGCCACCGGTGCAGGGTTGGGTGTAAGCAGGCAACAGTGCCAGTGTGGTGCCTGGCTGTTGAGTGGTCTCTGTTAAGAAAGGTGGCCAAAGGTGGGAGGGCCAAAGAAGAAACTTACTCAAAGGAAGAATTTTGAGGACTCAGAGTTGCTGCGATTTGTGCTTGATTATGGGCTATCCCTTGTGGACATCATGGCAAGGCGCTGAGCAGAAAAGATGGGCAATGATATGCGTCCATCTTGGAGATTTCCCAACAAGTTTGACCGAAGGCAAAGGAATTGAGGCTATTGCCAAGTGGGTGGGTGAGGTGATGGTGGGAGTGAAGCCAGGAGAGGCCTGATGAGTGGGGACAGAGTGACGATTCCAGGTTGTCATTCACCAAAACAAATATTTTTGAGCACTATTGTGTGGCAGCAGACTGTAGACATGCTGTTCTCATGAAGGTTGCATTTGGATGTAGACAGGAAGAGAAGAAACATAATAGTTGGGTACTGTCAGGTAGTCCAGTGTATGATCCTCCCATATGACAGAGTAGAACTGCCCCTTAGGATTTCGTAGGCTGTAATCTTTTTTTTTTTTTTTTTAAAGCTTTTATTGTGTATTGAGTGAGTGAAGGCATACAGGGCAGATTTAGCAAATTTTACATTCAGCAAAATATTGTAATGATTACGATCCCCTCCATGTACCCTTAACCAACAGTGTTTACCTCCATTATCTCTCTTTTTTTTTTTTTTTTGATGTACACATACCACAGTGTATGTATGTATTTGTTTAAATGTCCAAAGGGCACCTGTTTGTAAAGCAGTCTGCAGGCACACTGCCTTTCTCAGTCCATGGACCTGTAGTCCGCTGCTGCTCTGGCTATGCCATGGCCTCAGCCACCATCTCTGTTGTTGCCACTTTTCTGGTTAGGATCGCTCGCTCCTCTCATGTTCTTCCCTCTTGATGGTCTTAGGGTCCCCTGTTTCCTAAATGACAAATTAACTACGTCCCTCTTTCAGTTGCACCTCTTCTACATTTATATTGTGACAATAGTTAGACTGTAGTCTTTACTGGAATAAATTACCAGTTTTTTTCTCCCACAGAGCAGCTGGTGGGTTTGAAAATCTGATCATTTGTTTAACCGAACACTTACCTAATACACCACCAGGATTCCTTAAATATGGTGGTGGTGGTGATGTGCTGTGCAGTTGGTTCTGACTCATAGTGACCCTGAACAGGGTTTCCAAGGCTGTAGGTAGTGATAATTGCTAGGAAGGAAAATAAAGCCGGGAATGAACAGTGATGAGCATGTGCTATTTTGCATAGCGTAGTCAGGGAAGGACTCTGGTCAAGTAGGAAGGAAGGAGTGGACAGTACAGATATCCTGGGAAAGAATGTTTCTGGCACTGGGGCTAGCCAGTTCAGAGGCTCTGCGTGGGGGTAGTGTGTGTGAAGAAAAGCAAGGAGGTGACGCCAGATGGTGCAGGACTTTGCATGTGGTCCAGAGGATTTAGGATTTTATTCTTAGATGCTGGAAGTTTTAAGTGGAGGAGTGACGTGGCTTAGTTATAATTTTAAATAAATGAATAGATGGGCTTCATTCTATAAATATTGGTGTGCCTGGAAAGTTGGAGGCTCTCTGCTCTCAGAGTGTTTATAATAGTGCAAGATTCACACGGAAAGGGCTGTCACAGGGCAGTTGGTTAGGAGATAGACTCTGGGTTGAAATTCCTGGGGTCAGATTACTGAAATCAGATGACTGTTTCTCATCTTTAAATTGGAGTTATTAAAAGAGTTAAATGATAGGGGAAGCAGGTGGTAACTTCCCCTCTCTAGATGTTAGCTGTTCTCATTGTTGTTAATTACATGTGTGCCCTGATGGGAGAAACCACGGCCAGAGTGTTATGAAAGCAGCTCTGGTTCTGGGGCTGCAGGATTGGGTGGGATGGGAGTCCCTGAGAGGGAGAAGAAGAGAAAATGCAGGGAAGGTGGTAGTTGTGGACATGAGAATAGGGTATGTAGCGAAATATCCAATTTCAAGTATGGTGCCTTGTGGGTTATGGCAAGGCTAAGGGTGTGGGAATTGGAGCCCAGCCAGGCAGAGGACAAGACCACAGGAGGTGAGGGTAGAAGTGTTGGGGGGCTGAGGGAGGGTCATACCTGGGGTGGGGGGGTTCTGAGCCTCTGGACCTCATAACGGAGAAAGAGCAGGCAGCACCAGTTTTAGGAGCCGGGGATTCACCAGAGGAAGGCAGGTGACATGGAAGTGGCCCTAGGCAGAGAGAAGTGTCCTCCATCCCAAACACATAGGAACTAGTCCTTATTAACTGTCCTGTGGTTTTCAAAACATCCCACCGTAGCTTTCCCCCAGAGGGATAGAGAACAGGGCTGGGGGCTCCCTCGTGGGGCCTTCGGCATCAGGCAAACTTGCTGGAGTTGGTTGCTGGGCTTGCGCTCATTGGCAGCCCTGGCGGCTTCTGCCCTGCAGGGTGTTCAGTTGGTGTTGCTGCCAGGGGTGAATCGCCTTGACCATCCTTCAGGAGCGCCCCCTGCGTCAGTTTGGGAAATCCAAGACTGGAGGGGCTTTTGGTGGGTCACAGAAGCTATAGGTTTTCCTCTGATAAGTCAAGAACGGAGACTAGGAAAGAGTAGAGCTTTTGCCCTTGAGCCCTGTGCCTCTGGATGGGGTTGTAGAGTAAAGGCCTCATTGTTTCAGGATAAGGAACTGTGGTGGTGCTAGACTGACTGCTGAACAAAAGGTGGATGGTTTGAACCCACCAGCCAAACTGCAGGAGAAAGCTTTGGCAGTCTGTTTCCATAAAGATTCATAGTCTTGGAAATTTATGGGGCATTTCTACTATAGAGCTTGCTATGAGTTGCAGGTGACCCGCTGGTAGTGAGTTTTGGGTTGCTTCAGGAAAGCTCAGTAAATAAACTTTGGAGATGGATTTCTGTCAGAGCCTGCAGGCTGCAGATTTTGGAGCTAGTAGTGAGCTCAGGAGTAAAGGGAAGGATAGGAAGCATTTCCAACTGGGAATACTTCCTGGAGGAGATGTTTAGGGTAGGAGTGGAGGCCAGACTGTGAGGTCAGTGGAGAGGCCCAGATCCAGGCCTTAGGGATTTGGCAGTGCTCATCTCCTGGTGTCGCACTGTGGGATCAGCACTGGACTGTGAACCACAAGGTCTGCAGTTCAAACCCACCAGCTGCTCCTTGGAAACTCTATACAGGGTGGCTATGAGTCAGAACCGACTCGAGGGTACTTAAAAACAACACCAGGCATCCTGGCCCAAGCTCATCCCTGCATTTGGGGTCTGCTCTCCTTGGTCACCTGACTCCAGTGGCTCTTACTGTCTCCTGTCATTTCAGGATTTGGGACCCTCCAGGATCTGGTTGCAGGCAGCCTTTTCCAATCCTGGTTGCATCCTGAGTTGCATGTGGGGACCCTCCCTCCTTCTCTGTCTACATCTAAATTTTTCTTCTGGCTTTATGCCAGCCTCAACCCAGCCCACTGGGGACAACCTCCCCATAGGCCTACTGCCTCCTCGTGGCCCCAGGGCTGCCCTGGGTTTCTGGTGAGGCATCTTTGGAAAGATCTGTGGATCATGAACAGGAAAGAGCCATTTCCTAAGAGGAAAACCTGTGCCTAGGAAGGCAGTGAGGGGAGTTGGAGTGGCTCTTGACAGTGCCATTGTCGTGGGGCATCGTCTGGTGTGGCCTGCCCAGAATTCATCCTCATTGACACAGCACAGTGGTGAGGGTCTCTGAAATTGAGGGCCAGGGCTGGGGTGGAAGACACTACTTGGAGAGTCATGGGTTGACACATTGACTGGTCTCTGCTATGGCACAGGTACAGGAGAACTCCCCGGCCCAGCAGGCAGGCCTGGAGCCCTACTTCGACTTCATCATCACCATTGGACACTGCAGGCTGGTGAGGCCCCCACACCCCAACCTACTCCTACTTTCTTGTGTGTGGCCCTCAGTCCCACTACAGGCCCCAGCCCAGCTCCTGCCTACCTTTTCTTCTGGAGGTGATGCAGCCTCTCTCTCCTTCCAGGAGCCTGATTAGGGCCCTGCCCTGGGCTCAGGGAGTGAGGGGGAGTAGCTTGTGGGCAAATGGACTCTTGGAGAAGGACCCCAGGGCTGAAAGGGCTAGGAGGGATGGAGGGCTTTGGCAGTGCTGGAGTCCTGGAGACTCAGAGGCCTTTTGTTTGCTTTGTTGTTTTCTGGGGGAGACTGAGGGCTGAAGCTTTGGCAGTGCTTGGTGATGGTGAGTGTTGGGGGGTGGGGTGGTGCCTGCCTATGGACCGGGGCAGCTCGCCTCCGAAGCCCAGATCTTAGGGGACCTGCTTAGGGGTGTGTGTGGGGACCTCAGAGTCAGCAACGCTGCCCTCACAGAACAAGGAGAATGACACATTGAAGGCGCTACTGAAGGCTAACGTGGAGAAGCCCGTGAAGCTTGAGGTGTTCAATATGAAGACCATGAAGGTGCGCGAGGTCGAGGTGGTTCCTAGCAACATGTGGGGCGGCCAAGGCCTACTGGGCGCCAGTGTGCGCTTCTGCAACTTCCGCAGGGCCAACGAGCAAGTGTGGCACGTGCTGGTGAGTGTGTGGCGTGGGTGCCCTATGACACCGAGGCTGAAGTGGGCTACGTGGGTGGAGCACCTGGGGGAAGACTGGTCCAAAGCGTGGCGCTGCTCAGGGTGTGGGCGGGGAGGGAAGTCCAGCAGCCGGATAGGAGGGGAGCTCCGAGTCCCCGAGGGGTGTGGCCGGGATTGTATTGGCCGGTATAGGAGAGGGGCAGGGTTTGGGTGGGGACGACTCCGTGAGGGCGAGCAGGGCTGTCTTACCTTGTGAAAGGGGGTCTCACCACTACCTGCACCGTGTTCCTTGCTTTGTACCCCTGTGACCTTGGGCATGTTTTTTTTTAATCTTCTTTATAGCTTGGTTTCTTGTTTTGAAAGGCGGGATACCATTTACTGGAAGGGTGGTTGTACAGACACTCCAAAAAGCTCTCTCTCTCTCTATGTAGTACATATATATGTATATATATCTATGGAACTCTGGTGGCACAATGCTTAAGCTGCTAACCGAAAAGTTGGCGGTTTGAACGAGCCTTCTTCCAAGGGAGAAAAGACCTGTCAGTTGTCTCCCATAAATGTTACAGCCTAGAAAACCCTACGTATCTACATGTATATATAGGGTTATTCATTTTGGCAGATGGAAGAAGGCTGCTCTCCCTGGTATGTCCCTTAGGGAGGACTTCAGAGGGACAAGGGGGATCCCTGTGGACCATTGGAGGTGCTTCCTGGGAACTTTTTCAAAGTTGTACTAAATTGAAATTGAGAAGTAGTTGAGGTGGGCTGATATATTTTCTAGCCTCTTCTATTGCTCACTGACTTTTTAATAAAAAAAGCATTTTGAATTCAGTGAAGGTGTACAGAACACATCAACATTCAACAAAGCCTACATTTTGTGTCATTACAATGATTGCAATCCCTTCCATGTACCATTAATTAACAGTATTTACCTCTGTTCACTTTTTTTTTAGCAGTACCTCCTTTTACTTTAAAGGAGCTCTGATAGCGTAGTGGTTATGAATCAGGCTGCTAACCTCAGGGTCAGTAATTCAAAACTACCAGCTGTTCTGCGGAAGAAAGATGAGGCCTTCTGCTCCTGTAAAGATTTACAGCCTCGGAAACCCTGTTACAGGGTCACTATGTGTTGGAACAGACTCCACGGCACATAGCCACCACCTCTGTTCACATTGATTTCTCTGATTCCCTGTTTACAGTTTTGTGGGTTTGTTTTACTTTGGATACTTACTTCTATATCTGGATTGGGTTCTGGGTATTGTTGTCATGTATATTAATCTTGGGTTATTGTTAGCTGTTGTTGGTTCTCAGTCCAAAGAACACCTTTTAGTAATTTTTGTAAAGTTGGTTTGGTTATTACAGATTCTTTTAACTTCTGTTTATCTGAAAACACCCCAATTTCGCCATTGTATCTGAGGGACAGATTTGCTGGGTATATGATGCTTGCCTGGCAATTTTTTATTTCAGGGTTTTGTATATGACATCCTGTTGCATTCTTGCCTACATGGTTTCTGCTGAGAAATCAGTCTTATTGGTTCTCCTTTGTAGGTAACTTTTAGTTTTCTTGAAGCCGCTTTCAAGATCCTTTTCTTGTCTTTGGTTTTGGAAATTTGATAATGATTTTCTTTTGGGGTCTATCCTGTTTGGGGTTGTTTAGCTTCTTGAATGGTTATCTTTTCATCTTTTACAGTGTTAGGGAAGTGTTCTTTCAGCAGCTCCTCAACAATTTCCTTAGTATTTTTTATTGTCTTTTCCGAGTCTGGAATTCTGATCACCCCTAAGTTATTCCTCTTCATGGTATCCCACATAAATCTCAGGCTTTCTTCTAATTTGTTCATTCTTTTTTTTTCTTATTGTTCTTCTACCTTACTAGTATGGGGAGTTTTATCTTCCAGTTCACTAATTCGGGCTTCCATTGCTTCAAATCTACTCCTTTGCCCTCTCAATGTATTGCCCATTTCTGAAATTTTAGTATTAAGTTTTTGAATTTTTATTTTGCATTTGTTTATTGCATTTGCTTTGCCTGGTTGTTCTTACAGTGTTTTCCTAAATTCTTCTAGGCTTTTTGGTGTTCTTGCTTTCCTCAATCTTTCTATCAATATACTGAAGATACCTAAATATCATTCTTTTGAATTCTTTCTCAGGTAGTTCCATTACCTTGTCTTCTTCAGAAACATTTTCTGGCTCTGCTTCTTGGTCATTTGTTTGAACTATTCTCTTGTTTCTTTGTGTGAGCTAAAATTGTTGTCTCCAAGACATTGTGGTGTTGTTATTTGTACGTAACTGATGATTGTGTATTCTTAGGCTGTCACCAACTGTCTCCTGGTGGGTGTAGTTAGAGAATGGGAATGTGTGTACTGTTTTCCGTTCACGCAGATCTGTTTAGTTTGAGTTTGGCTTGTGTTGACTGATATCTATCATTGGTCATGTGGTGTAGGCGTTGGTACTGGCTCTTGTCCAGTGAGTGGAGCTGTAGAGAGTCCAGTTGTGGCTGAGTTGTACGAGAATGGTTGCTGTCTCCCGTTGGGTGAGCATGAGGAGAAAACACACAGGAGAACTAAACAAAACAAACAACAGTGAAAAACAGGATAAAGGAGAAAAAGTAAACAAAAACAGCTAGCAACAAGAAAAAAAAAATAATAATTAAAAAGAGAAAAAAAAAACTCCCAACAAAACAAAACATCGAGGGAAGATGAAAAGAGAAAGAGACTTTCCCATTGGCGTGTGACTGTGCACTGCCAAGCCACTGTCTGTCTCTCCAAAGCTGCTCACAGGAGTTCAAGATGGCAGTCCGTTCACCACTCATTCTGTTTTTTTTTTTTTTTTTTGCCTCCCCTTCTCAGCTGCTTTTCCCAGTAGGTACTCAGTCCACTTCTCTAACCTTTCCTCAGGAGCTCAGGCTCCAGGTTTGTCCTCTGTGCCTGTTTCATGTGGCCCCTGCATCTTGAATTTAGAGGGTCTGCATAGTGTGTCTGCCTAGTCCTCCATCTTGCTGGAAGTCTCGCTCACTGACTTCTTGAGAAGCCTGGCCAAATTTCTCAACATTTTCAATCTGTCTCATTTTGTCCATGGATGAAATAGGGTTGATGATGCAAGTTCTTTCACATTCCCAGGGAGACTGAAAGATTGAGAGTGCTAGAGTGTTCCATGGGTTCTTTCTTATGGGAAAAAAGTAACTTTATATCTAGGTCTGCATGCTGCTTCCGGCTTCCCAACGTTTTTCAGCCACATAGCTACAGCAGTAAGCAGTAACAGCAGTGCAAATAGGCACTTACTGTGGGCTAAGGTGCAGTTTTCATTGTTTGCATATTGTGTACTTACTCTTCTCAGCAACTGAGTAGGCATTAACTAGCCCGCTCTGTATTACGGGGAAACTGAGGCTGAGAGAGGTTGTCCAGTCACAGCCAGCAGTCTGAAGCCACGAGTTGAGCCCAGTGCTCTGACCCAGATCATGGGGCTGGCCTCTTCTGGACAGATGTGGACCTGGGAGAGGTAGGGGAGTTGAAGGGTAGGGTAGTGGAGTCTGGGCTTAAGTTTCTGTTCTATGGAAGGAGGACAAGTGTCCTACTCACTGCCTGGAAGGAATGTCCTCGCCCCAAATCCCAGCAGCCAGACTGATAGTTGGTGATTCTTCTCCCAGGACGTGGAACCATCTTCACCTGCTGCCCTTGCTGGTCTGCGCCCCTACACAGACTATGTGGTTGGCTCTGACCAGATCCTCCAGGAAGTGAGTAGGCCCTGGCATGCCCACTGCAACGGGTGGGACAGATGAATTCTATCCACGAGGAGTGTGGTTTCATTGTGTCCCAGTCCTGCTGCTAAGAGCAGGACTCAGCCTCTATGTGTTTCTCACAGTCTGAGGACTTCTTCACACTCATCGAGTCCCACGAGGGGAAGCCTTTGAAGCTGATGGTTTATAACTCAGAGCTGGACTTCTGCCGGGAGGTGACTGTAACTCCCAACGCAGCCTGGGGTGGAGAGGGCAGGTACTTCCTGGGGCCCTAGGGGAATGGGGCTTAGCTGGGAGGCATGGACTCACCTCAAGTTCCATGGCGGAGGTGGAGGGGGCAGGGTCCTAGCCAAGAGGACCTGAAGTTGGCCATTGTTCTGGGAAGCCCGCACTGCTGATATTGGATGGAGGTGGCAGAGGTAGGGAATGCTGTGGAACAGTCCCCTGGATTTGGTGTTTCTGGCCTTCTGCAGTCTGGGGTGTGGTATTGGCTATGGATATCTTCACCGGATCCCAACCCAGCTCCCCAGTCTCCACAAGAAGCCACCGAGTTCCCTGCCAACTAAACCTATCCCCCAGGACTCTCCTGTTTCTTCTCATCTGGAGATCAACTCCAGCCAGGGTGACTACATAGAGGTATGTGAGAAGCGTCTTCCAGCTGGGAGGGAGGAGGAAGGGCAGAGGGCTGGTGCCGGCTGGCTAGAAAGAGAGAAGACTCTGGCAGGTGGCCCTGGAGAGCCTTCATGCTCTGCCTCTGCTTCTAGAACCCCATGGGAGTAGGTGGCTCGCCCATCCCTTGGGTCTATGAGTGAGGGCAAAGGCAAAGTTCTAGTTGTCATCCTCATTTCATGAAGCAGAAACTGAGGTTCACAGATGGGCAGTGTCTTGTTTCCTGCCTCCCAGTGAGTTTGGTAAAGCTGAGCCAGGATAGATGTCTGGCCAAGTCTACAGGGGAGTGCCGGTCCTGTGTTGTTAGCTATTGAGCAAGAGCACCAGGCTGGGACCTTCAGGCTGAACCAAGGGGCATGCAAGGATTGTTCTCCAGGCATGGCTGGAGCCTAGATCATTAATGGGGGCCCAGGCAACATGTTAGGGTCAGGTGGGCACCTAGAGCGTCTCAAAGGAGTGGGAAGAGCATGTCTTTTGTTGTTGACACTGCAGGGTGTACCTCACCCTAGCTGTGGGGGACGCTGCTCTGGCCTACTTCACATCATCTGTAGAGGAATGAGGGGCAGATCACTGAGACTGTTTCCTGCCTGCAGCAGAGCATGACTCCTGGTGTCAGGGTGGGGTGCATAACCCTCCACCTCTGTGCATTGTCCTGCTCCCCATTCTCCCCTGGCTCAACTAGGCCCTTCTGCAGGCATCTGACTCTTCCTCGGAGGTGCAGCTCCCCGTGCCTGCAAGTCCTAGCCCTAGTGCTCCAGATGTTGAGGGGCTTCCACATTCCATGGAGACGCCTCTCCAGCCTCCACCCCCACTGCAGCGAGTCATGGACCCAGGTACTGGGCAGGCCGTAGAGGAGACAAGCAGCTGCAGTAGTGGCCACACCTTCCTCACCTCAGCACCCACCCATTTCTTCATACTCACCGAGACAGCTGCAGACTCTGCAGTCCAGTGTGTGGGTGGGGAGTCTGCAGTCAGTGAAGAGAGGTGGTCCACTGAGGTCACAGCAGACTGGGGACAGAGCAGGGTCTGGGCACACTGCCCCTGTGCTGCTCTGGTGACGGCCAACCCCAGGCTCTCGTCTCAGGAACAGACAGTGGGGAATCTCTCTGGGGCTGGATGGGGACATCACCGAGTTGAGATTATTCTCATAAGCTGTGCTAGCAACAGGGTAGGGGGTTGCAGGGTACTGGCTGACGGGCAGGGATTTGTGCTTCGCCCCTTTCCCACAGGCTTCTTGGACGGGTCGGGCATTTCCCTCTTGGACAGCAGCAACGCCAGTCTCTGGCCTGGCTTAACATCTTCTACAAGTCTGACCTCAACAGCTGTCTCTGCCTCAGGGGTGGAGGACATCTGCTCCAGCAGTGGGTCTCAGGAGCGGGGTGGTGAGTGGCTGGCAGCTTCTGAAGCCCTCTAGGCAGGACCCCACACTGTTGGAAAGGCTGCCCTGAATTTCTCACTTGGGTGAGAGGTTGGCTTTTGGGCTGGATTCAGTTGGACAGAATCTCGGGTGAAGGTGGCGTCAGTGGGGTTATCTCCCCAGGTCACACCGGCCCTGGCACATAGCCCTGGGCCCTGCAGATCTCCCTCAGCCTGTTTCTGTGTTGCAGGTGAGGCCACGTGGTCTGGATCAGAGTTTGAGGTCTCCTTCTTGGACAGCCCAGGTGTCCAGACTCAGGTGGATCACCTGCCTCAGCTGACGCTTCCCGATAGCCTCACTTGTACGGCTTCACCAGAAGATGGACTGTCTGCTGAGTTGCTGGAAGCTCAGGCTGAGGAGGAGCCGGCTAGCACAGAGCGCCCAGCTTTTGGGATGGAGACTGAGGGACCAGCTAACCAAGCCCAGATCTCTGCCGCAGAATAATGCCCTGGGCCAGGACAGACCCTTCATGGCATCGCCTGGGGCCCAGGCGAACACTATGCTGGTTTCTGCTGCTGGGGTCCGGGAGACTTTTGTGTCCGCTCAGACTTCTGGTTTCTGATCTCCAGGTGACGCCCACTCCCCAAGCGTTTATCCTGCCTGATGGTCCCAGCTTTGAGGCTTGGACACTTGTTCAAGGGTGCCCAAACAAGTTCTTTGGCGTGGCAGAGGGCTGGGAGTACCAACCCAGATTAAATACAGTGTGTAAGAGTTGTGTAGGAAAGAATTCTTTGCTGCTTGGGTGGGGCCTGGCTGGGTAGTAACAGGCCTTGAGGGTGGGCACCTTTTGGCTGTGCACCTCCAGATCCAGCACTTGCTCCCGCTCTGGTCACTGGGGCTGCACAGAAGGCAGTAAGGCCTAGGCCTGATTAGGTGTGAAGACGGGACAAGGGTGGCAAGGGGTCAGTGTGGAGTGTTTGTTTACTCCGTAGGGTTTGTCTTGATTCTTCTGGCACAGCCAGCCAGCCTCTAGCTGGACAGGAAGGCACCCCCATGGCCCAGTCACAGCCTCGGCGCAGTGTCACCATTGGCTCAAACTGACCAGCACATTGGCTGGAGAGTGGTGGTGGGGGATATCTTGGCTCATCAGCAGAGATCCATCCACCTGTGCCTGGACTGTGGTGTTTCTTCTAACCTCGGGCCTCCCCTGCCACAGCTCTGGCAACTCCTGTCAGTTCCCTAACTTCATTTACAATAATCTCTTCTAAACCAAAATGGCCGTCAGCCAACTCCAGTGATAAAGTTTCACATTGTTTCATGTTCGGTGTAAGCAAACTCTCATAAGCAGTCTAATAACTTTATAAATTAGGGGGGGTGGATCTGGGACCCTTCTATCCTTTCCCATAATGTAGTGGGGGGAGGCTTCTACCCGTGTCCTATTCCCAAGTGCCTTTGGAGGGTTTACCTGGCTGTGCTGGGTCTTCTGCTCTGAGCTGCTCCTGCAAGAGGACTCCATCCAGGGTTGACCACTCATGGCCTGAAATCCTCTGCTGCCTTGGCTGGGACCCCTCGCCTTCCCTCACATCTCTCTAATTATGAAAGCGGCCCTCGGCCTCATCTGCTAGTCAACCCAGTTGCGAATCCCACTTTTGTACCTTGTCAAGTCTACCAATAGAACATGCGGTGAAGTCCGCAGAACAAAGGCATTGTATCCAGGGCCAGTGCTGGAGTCTGGGTCTCAGGCTGTCTGGGAATCCAGTGTCTCTCTAGGGATCCAGGAAGGAGAACAGAATTTCCACAGGACTGTGTTGGGGTTAGCTTCCCTTAACTCTAGTCATCCATAGTCTGACCCAAAGTGGCCCTCACCTGAGGGTTCTGGTTCTTCCCTCATCCCATGCCCGCTGGGAGATAAAGGCCTTATCAATGCTAATTATCTCCAGGGTAAATGCAAAACCAGAAGGCCTCTAACTTTCTCTGCAATCTGCTTTGAAGGAAAAAGACAAATGAAAAAAATAAATGTATACTATGAAATATTTTAACTAAAGCCTTTATTCTATACAACTGTGAAATACAGATTTTACCCTTTTGGCATTGCAGACTGACAGATTTTCTGGAAACTGCATTACTGGTTTGGAAGGAAAAAAAGTACAAGCATGCTTGGAGGGTCAGATCAATGATGGGGATGGAGTGGAGCGCAGCTGCCCCTTGAGGCTCGGTACAGAGGGCAGCCACCCAGCAGAACCCACTTCTCTACCTCAAGGGCCCCTTGTGCAAACACTTGGGGGTGGATAAATGAATTACAATCTTTTGAGGTGTTTTTTTTTTGCCATTAATTCATAACTATTGCTAAAAAAAGTGCACCAAAAGTGCACTGTGGTATCCAACAGATACGTAGAAAGGACTTTTAAAAAAAGAAGTTGGGGTGCTCTCTGCGGAAGGGAGAAAGACCATTTCAGCTCATTGGAAATCTGGCTGCGTCTTTCCTCACTTCTTCAAAGTACAGGAGGCAATGACCTGCCTCTTCCCAAAGAAAGCTGACCAGCAGTGAGGGAACCCTGTCTCTGCAGCTGTGCAGATCAGAATGTCTCAAATAGGAACACCTGGACCCAAGCCCATCACCTGTCCCCAGCAGAACCTGTGAAGATGTAGAAAGAAAAAACCTTCCCCAGCCCCTGCTATTGTGGGGACAGGACGCACACAAGCTGGGGAGGCAACTGGACTGGATTAAACTGCCCTCTGAAGGCACTTGTGCTTCTGGCTTCGTATAGGAGGCTTGTCCGATGTGGTTTTATGGGGTGGACCACTGATCTATTCTGAATACAAACAACCTTGGGGAGAATCCAAAGTATTTTTTTCTGCCAAAAGTAAAAGTGTTTATCCCCAATAAGTTATATTCTGTACAAGATCCAAATGACTCTATGAAAGCTTTAAATTGTTAGAAAGAACATTGAAAAGAAGCTCTGAATACAGGTACAACAACAAAAACCTGCATATAAAACTTTGGAAAAACAAATATGTATACTTCCAGGATATGAATATCAAATCAAGTCACTATGATATCTCTACTCTGACACCAGACATTCGGGTAGCATTCCAATGAAATGACAATTCCATCATGGTCTGAAGTTTTGACAGTGTCAGGCCGCTCACCCAGAGCAGGAATCTGGGGTGTCAACTGGTTTTGCCCATACATAAAGCTGGACACAGTGCAGGAGGAGTGAGTCGGCTGTGCTTCCTTGTGGCTACCACACAGTCCGGGGCATCGGGCAGGTGGTGGCCTGGAGGGTTCAGGCAGGACATAACTCTGGCCAGGCAGGCAGCGTGCTGTGATCCAGCACCTGGAATTTTAACAGCTCTTCCTACAAGAACACATCTGAGATGCAGTATTAAAAAGAAGCCCAATATTAACCACTTATGAAATGGGCTGGCTCTCGAATTGTGCAGCAGCAAATTCCTGTTAAAATAACTGTCTTTAAATGATGAGAACAATTTTGATTTTTTTCTTTTTTTATGACAAACTTGGAAAAAGCCTTCATAGGTACTGCATGAATGGAATGTACTCTTAGAAAAGCTACAGAGCATGTGGGTTGGAAGTATGTTTGAAACACAGTGACAGATGTGGCCCAACCAATGTGTCGTGAACACAAGCTGACAGACAAAGATAAGGTCCTTTGAAACAAAAGGAGGAAGCAAAGTCTGCACTGGCCTGGCATCGGTTCTCTGTGTATCTCTCAAGACAAGTGTACTTGAGGGGGATCCTCTGCTCTCATAGTCTGCCTCTCTGGGGACAGCTTAACCTACACATGGAGACTGGTTTCTATAGTACATCTCAATTAATCACTTGAATTGAAAGAGAATCCTGGTCCATACCAAATCGGCCGTTAGACGTCTTGCTCCCATGGGGGCTCAGTGGGCTTCCTAGGACTAGTCTTGGGGCCATAGAGGAAGGTCAGTAAATAAAAACCCGGAACACTTGCCGCCTTTCACGTTGATTTCTGACGGTAATGAAGGGTAAGGTCACCACCACTCTTCCAGATGAAGTGCTTCACGGTGCGAAGGTCCATATTTGGGTCTAAAACCTGAATAGCAAAAAAGAAATGCATTTATAAAGGCTTTAAACTCTTAAGAAGACCTGGACTGCTAACTCGGGACCTCTCACCATGGGGTCCAGCTAATTCCTTCCAGCCCCATCCTGGTGAGCTGCTCTCGCATACAGAGCTTCCAAGCCTGCAGGCACTGAGATCAGGCACAGGAAGCAACTGCAGTTTATGTGGCTACGCCAGAAACACCAGATCATCATCTTTCAGTCATCCATTGGAACAAACACCTGAGTGCACCTTGATTTTAAAAGGGCTCAGCCATTCCTCTGCCCACCTCCATTTTGAATCGTAACACGGCATATGTTGCACTGTAAATCAAGACCAAGTATGTATTTCCCCAGGCTGAGACCGGGGCTTTGAGCCAGCTCTTCCTAGTTTAGTGAAGGCTAAGTAAATGAAATTGCAACAGACCTGAATTTTAAAATCTGGGTGAACTGGAATGATACTAAGAATGGGAAAAATTACAGGGTGAAGTCCTGCTAGAAACCTCATGTCCCTCTTAGAAAATAAGGTCAGCAAAAGTGTTGCATAGCAAGCAAATCCCTTGCCCTACGGATTTTGCAACAGCAATGTAACACCATATGTGTAATTATCTACAGTCCTGCCAATAATCCATCAGGCTCCTGAAAGGGTTCACTATGCCTCTTCAAAGTCTCCCACTCTAGGGCTTTGAACTGTAAGTTTTCCTGTCCTGGTTATCAGTCATGGTCAACAAGATTTTTAAAAACCGTGGCCATTCCAGTTTTACGTCATTAGCCACAGCTATACTGGTTTGAAGTCCTGGTTAAGAAAGTCACCAGCAAATTTACAACTGTGCCTTTGAATGTCTGTAAATGGAAGCTTTGTTGTTTGGTGCCATCGAGTTGGTTTCTGACTCATAGTGACCGACCCGATGCACACCAGAATGCAACATGGCCTGCTCCTGTTAACTCCCACACAACTGTTACACTTGAGTTCACTGCTGCTGCTATGGTGCCAGGCCATCTCGTTGGGGTCTTCCTCTTTATCACTGACTACCTTACCAAGCAGGATATCCTCTCTCCAGGGCCTGCTCTCCTGATAACATGCCCAAAGTATCAAAATAAAATCTCACAATGCTGGCTTCTAAGGAATATTCTGGCTGTACTTCTTCCAACAGATTTGTTTGTTCTTCAGGAAATCCATAGCACTTTCAATATTCTTCTCTAACACCAAAAATCAAATGCACCAATTCTCCTATGGTCTTCCTTATTCAACATCCAACTATCATATGCATATGAGACTACCGAATATACTATAGCTTGGGTCAGGCATATCTTGGTCTTCAAATTGACATCTTAGTTCTCGAACACTTTAAGACGTCTTCTGCAGCAGATTTGTCTAATACAATATGTCGTTTGCTTTCTTGTCTACTGCTTCCATGAA